TTTAGGTGGAAAGAGTATTCATTAAATTGAAAACTGTTCTTTACTTGGCTTTTAAGCAGTTTTCAGTTTACCCATTTAATGTTTTTTCTCATTGGGCACACATGAGTTTGAGTATAACTTTGGTTTATGAAAAATACTTATGAACAAATATATAGGAAAAGTATACCTTTACATCCAGTTCTTCCTTTTTTAGCCCAAATGAAACCAATGCTGTATAAATCAGTGCTAAGTGATGAAGTGTCTTTTCTGTAAGACAGTACCTAGAAAAGAATTATATTACTATACTTCCACTCGTTTGACATGTGGTCATACTTATTAAAAATTCATTTTGTTTTTCACATTTCATAATGTTATCAGAATAATCTAAGACAGTACTAGTGGCAGAGTCATGGTTTTTTGTCTACTTAGCACTTTTTTTGGAAAAATGTTTCCATCTCCATTCTTTAATAATATTGTTAAATCTAGGGGATGCTGAGAGTGGGGGATGGGGTGAGGTAGTGGAGAAATTTACCCTACTCCCTTACAGGCAACTGTCTTGGCGTGGATTTTTGTTGTTGTTGTTGTTGTAATTCTTCAGTAACACAAATCAATGAAAGAAAGTATAGCAAGATGCTATTTAGTTGATGTAATTAAAAAGATTTTAGAGAAGCAATTTAAGAATGACATTTTAACAGAGAAGTCCGGAATTTAAAAGTAATAAGAAGTGAAACACTTAAAGCAGCAAGTCTTAGTGAGGTAGAGAAGGAAGGATGATTTGCACAGAATGTCTGGGGAAAACATCATCTCCAATTTTCCGATTTGTTTTCCTGTGGACATGCCTCAACCTTGAGGATCCCTGACTTAAATAAAGCAAACTAGATGAACAGGGGGAATTTTGCATAGCTTCTTCTATTCACAGAAGAGGACTGAGTAACTTAAAAAATAGGAATGTGACTTTGGATGAAGAAACATTTACTTACTCTGAGTTTAGTGGTTTTTTGGTATACAAAATTAACCAACAACAGCTGTACTGGAATGATAATGCCATCAGTCTCATAATGATATTGTCTGATGCCTTCTCATAATTCAATTCTTCTAGGTCCTATCAGAAAATACATAAAATAAAAAGATTCACTAAGTTGAATAGTTGTTATGGAATTATTGCTATCGTACTTCAAGAATCTCTGATACATAAATTATGAATTGAGAAGAAGCATGGGTATGGGCTTCCATTTTATAAAAAAATTAAAATCACACTGGAAGTAGTAGGGGAAAAGCTACTGTAGATGTAAAACAGCTAATGTCAGTTTCAGCAAGAAAGGCTGATAAGTCTCCCATAAGCCTACATATGAAGAAAGCAGCCTACAGAGTGCCCCTATTTGGGCAAAGTCCTTTCTAGACAGGGATCTGGCTACTTCTAAGAGCAAAATAAAATATAGTAAAATCACATGGGATAATTTGCTTTGAATACTTTTTTAAGGAAGATGAGAAAGCAGCAGTTAATGGACTTCTAGGAATCTCTAACCAATGGTCTAGAAGTCTCTTTTTCCTTTAACACAATTAATTTTTGATAGAGTGAATAATTCAGGACATATCTTACTATAACAGTAACTTGTATAATGATGAATTCAAACAGTTTTCCCAAACAATATTTCCCCCCAAATAATGTTTTTTAAAAGAACCTCAAATATTCAAGACACAATATCTCTCTTTTTATTTTTTTTAAGATTTTTACTGGGGAATTGGGGGATGGAAACAGCGCTGGGGAATTGGGGGAAAGGGAACACACAAGTTGCTGTCCTTTTGTTCTTCAGTCTAGTTGTGGAGGATGTTGCTTCACTGGCCCAAGTTGGCACCATCATTGAGCTCTTCCCGGGTGAGGCAGATCAGTCACCGGCTTCTGGACGGCTGCTCACTGCGGCTGCTGGCTGCTCATGCTGGCTGCTGGCTACACATGGTAGCCCACGGCAACCCACCGCCACAGGGGCTGCAGCCTACTCCGTCACCGGTGACTCACAGCAGCCCAGCTCCAAGTTGAGCTGTTGTTCAGCATCTTAGCTGTAGAGGGCAGTATCACTGGCCCTCATATGTGGGATCTGAACCGGGGCTCTCTGGCGTCCCAAGCCAGCTCTTAACCATCGCGCCACTCGGCCGGCCCAAGACACAATATCTCTTAAGAATCCTTCTAACAGAGCTTTGTGTTTCCATCATATAATTCTTACATTGTTAACATTTTCTCATCAATCAGACTTGTACCTTACCATAATATTTGCCATTAATTTATACTCCACACCATCAAACTGGTTTTTGCTCCTCACTCCCAACCTATTAAAATAATTTCTTTGTAATTTGTATTCCAATCGAGCAAACATATTAGGGAGACTCAGTCAAGAATTTATACGCTTTAATTTCTAAACGGTATGGACTTTATAAGAGAATTTCTCTCTCTTTTTAAAAACCAGCTTATTTATAGGCAATTCCTACTTACCTTAGAAGAAATCCCATCTCCCCAGTCGTGGCTTCATATACCACCCCCTTTGAGGAAACACAGTGGCTAGGATTTAGTTTTTAAAGTTTTCAACACTATCATTATTCTATGAATATATTTAAAATAGGTAAGTATACAGTATTAAAGATTCTATATTTTCTTTGTCTTCTTAAAGTATGTTAAAAATTATAAGGCATCAAAGAAGCTGGGTAATAGTCATTTTCCTCAGTGATAATTTTGGCATTTGTTGCCCATTTGCAAAGTTTTGGAAGAAATCATTAATAGATTATAGTAAGCTCTCTAGAGTAAAACTAGTAATAAATTTCATGGTTACATATATTTGATTTATATTTTTTACTGTATAGTTTTACCTGTAAAATTATGGCAGTGTATTCATCGATTGTCATCACTACATAATACTTCATACTGCCAAAGAGTTTCAATGACGCACTGCAACATCTCTCCACTAATGTGATATTATAGCTGAAAAATACAATCATTTGGGGTGACATAATGAAATGGCTAAGAAGAGTTCTTTAAGAAAAGCTGTATTGTTCTCTTATATATTGAATATAAGTTGAACTGCTGTGCTTTTTCTTTCATATATCAATTTATTCTACTTTAAAAATTTGAAGAATGAAATTATGATTTATTCAGTATAGAAGACAAATTAGCTGAGATATGTGTTGCCTTAGGTATTTTGCTAAATATTACTGCACATCATACTATTACAAATATCCTGATCAACTTATTCTTTAAGTAATAATTTGTGAAACCAAAACATTGTGCTATGACACAAACATTCTACATTTACCAGAATTTTGTTTCCTTTCTCCTTAAAACTGGCCTATATTTTAACTACCCTTTAATAGTTTGTAGTTTTCTGTGAATGCCCCACAGCCTGCATTTTACCTAAAGTCACAGCACAGTTATTCTCCCTTGAGATACAGCCCCATGTCTCACATTCCGATGACACCTTGTGTGCTATGATGAAGTGTTTTCTGTGATTTAAAAGTTCCCAGTATTGGAGTGACCTTAGCACTAAAGGTCTAAAAACTGGAAAATTCATTTAGACCTTTAAAGTCCTGTTTCCCAGGCATTATTTAAAGTCCTCTAGGGGTGACCGGCTAGCTCAGTTGGTTGGAGCGTGGTGCTGATAACACCAAGGTTGCT